TGTACCATATCTGACCCTCCACTCATACAACGACACGTGGATCATCTAAACCCACCCAAGTACCCAAGGCATCGAACAATCGGCATCGGCTACCGATGGCATTGTCTGAAAGCTACCAACGGCTGCTGCAGGCCCATCTCGTCTACAATCGGTACCCCCTACCGATTCTGCACAATCAACCTCGAAGCACCCGCCCGAAATATCTAAGGACTCGTGTCAACCTCATAGGGCCCTCCCACGAGTCCCACATCGAAAATGAGCACTAAGAGCATACTAAATGCCCTCTATAAATATGCCCCTCCCACTACAATACAGGGGTAAGACTTTTCAGCTTGACTTTTATACTATTATATGGTCAACATCAAGAGCTCTTAAAAACAATCTTACTTGAGCATCGGAGGGTCTTAGGCTGGTTCCACACCGGTTCCATAGACCTCACGAGCTTCGCTTATCTTCTATTCAGGATCGGCATCCAAGGACAGGAAGAATCGGCATCCAACATCCAATCGATCTCTTGATCGTCCATCCCACTTGTAAGTTGCACTCATCTCCATCTGTTCAGTTTTTAGTGCCAACAGCAGACATTGAGTTTAAGTCCAAAATGTCATGCTGCTAACTCATACAATATGTGATTAAGTATCCTATTGAGTTAAAGAGTCCTAATTCAATTATAACTTAAATGAATATACAATTTGCTTGGTGAGATGGAGTCCTAGTTGAATTTGGTAATGAGAAGAATTCAAGCATATAAACAAAAGGTTCATGTCATTACAAAGTGGTCACACGCATAAAGTACTCAAACGCCCCATCTAGAAATTGTGTGATATGTTTTGTAGTGATCATATGGCTTCATATTTTAGTGATTAGTGTCTTTGAAAGTGTGTATATTCACTTGCCACCAATTAACAGAAAACCAATTTAAAAGTTTTTGGTTGTGGGAATATATCACCTGGTTGTTGTAAGATACATTTCTGCAAGGATTCAGTCATATTAGAGCTTCAAAATCAAATCCTGTATAATATTGCATCATCAGGTTAAGCGACATAAAAATGAAACTAAAATGTTTTTAATTTTACTCACAGTACAGCAAGACTCAGGCTATTTATCAGCGACACCACATCCGACCAATAACAGGTTCAATTATAAAGGTTTTACAGCATCCATAGTGATTGTTCAATAGTTCAATGCAATAGTTAAAAAACTATAATTTTACTTGTAATGGTACAATTTAATAACTTCAAATCAATAGTTATATCTTCTTACATTTTTTTTTTTACATATTCAAATAAAATAAAATGGATAAATTTAATAACACTAAAAATTGTACCATTGAAATATTCTCAAAGAGATCTTTAAAAAGAGACCAATTTTGAATATATTTAAAATATATATTAATTGCTATATTTTTTTCAATTGATTGAACAACCATTGTGAATGCTCTTAATGGCATAATGCATTAATTGCTGTATTTTTTAAATTTTTAATTAGCATGTCGGTCCCATAGTAGCCTATTGCAATTGCATTTATTGCAATGAACTCAATCACATCATTACAAGAAATGACGGAACTAGAAATTTTTCTAGGGGTGGGCTATTATTTCTTAGATGGGTAAAAATTTAAATAAAATTCCATTTATTTTTTTCATAGGAGAAAACTTGAAGCTAACTGGAGATCCGTTTGAATAGGACATGCTAATTTTTGCTTGGATAGATTGGGCTAATTTTTGTAAAATAAGGTATAGTGCTTAAAAATTAGTATTAAATTTCTTTTTATATGACTTCTACACTAGCTCATAGGTCAGAGATTAACTTGGGCAGGGCGTTTGTGGGGGATTAAATCGGCCTGCAATTTAAGCCAACGCCATACAATAAAATTGGCATCATTTAGGGCATGAGAAAAGC